AACAGCCAACCACCAACAATAGATCGGCCACCAACGACCGCAAACATAAACAGCAAACCACCAATCCGCCACCCCATAGATCCGCTAACAGCAAACGACCGCCAATCCGCCACACCCAACGCGTCGAAGCAACATACCAGCACACCCCAACAACGTCGCATAACACACCCACTACTACGCCCTCGCAAAAATCACAATCAAAAAAATCACCACCACAAACCACCACACCCACAGCAACATCTCACAGCAGCGTCGCTATGTTGCTGTGGGGGTCATAGCAGCCACAAACTACCACACCCACAGCAGCGTCGCGATGCTGCTATGGGGTCGCGGGAAATCGCAGCAGTGCGTCGTTGCTGTGAATCGCAGTAGAGGGATGGGGAGGGCAGGGGAGGTGGTAGAGACGAGACGGAAGAGAGAAAGGAGAGGAAGGGAGGGAGGGGAGAGAAAGAAAAGAGGGGAGGGGATAAGAGGTGGAGATGGCGAGATGGAAGAGAGAGGGGAGGGGAGAGGAGGGGAGGGGGCAGAGAGTGAAAAGTTAGGGTTAAGAATTTTTATATATCATCTTATTTTTTAAGAATGAAATTTGGTCCCTAATTTTTTAATTTGAAATTTTAAACACATGCCTCCATGTAATTTCCTCGATATGTTCCTTGGATTATTTCCATTGAGCCCAATTGTTTGCCTAACCCAACCCAATCACCAAATAACGACGTCGTCCTAAACAACAGGTAAACTAGCACATCCCTGAAACTTGCATATCCAAAACCCTACTTCATACCTCCGCAATGCAGTCTACCCGACCCGAGATGGATGGTTTATCGTCGGAACCCGCAATAAAAGGTTCTACGATTTTCGGTTGTCCGACGGACAATTCTCAGGCGATTCAGGCTCAGAGTAAAGCTCAGCTGAGCCCGGAGGAACTGGTGGCTAAAGCTATAGCTCCAGTAAAAAGAGAATTTCTCCGTCCACCACCCGTCAGGTCCAGCAATAACAATACAAATACCGATAGAATAATAACTGATGGAGAAGATGCAGTTTCAGAGTCCAAGCCGGCTCCCATTCTTCAGGAGAAGAAATCCAAACGCCAGCTCAAACGTGAACGTCACCAGGTGTGTGTATATATGTATATACAGATATATATATTGAATTGGAGAAATAATTATATGATTCAAAATGGGTTATTAAAGGTCAAGACATTCATGGAAACAAAGATGCTAATATGAATGTGCCATCAGAGGTAGTTGGGAAACTATATACAATAAACGGAGGTGATGCAGAGTGGTGATAAACTAAGCAAATGAAAACTTAAGCAGTTATAAGATTGACAAAATCTCACTCGAGCAACTTTTTAGAAGCGGATTATACCAAATTTAACTTGTTTTATATGATGATGTAGTTAATATTTCTGTGTTTTTAATTTTTTGAAAGGAAAATTTATTTTATTTGATATCTTGATCATATGATTGTAATTGTTTTTAGAAGACTAAAGATGTGTTAAAAATGTTAGGAACAAAAATCCGGAGCGCACCTCTGTAATGTGGTAGCGAAAAGTGGAAATGTCAGTTCCTGCCCTTATAAAGACAAGTGCCGCTTCAGCCATGATGTGGAAGCATTTAAAGCTCAGGTGAATATATTGACTAAGAGTAGATGAAACTTTGTCAAAATTGTGTTGAATACTTTGAGTAGCGGTCAGACTATTTTTACCGTTATGTGACTTGGTGCTGCTAAATGCAGAAACTAGATGATTTAGAGGGTTCCTGCCCTTTCTTGGATAATGAGGGACCATGTCCTTATGGGCTGTCTTGTAGATTTTCTGGCACGCACAAGGGTGGTGATGATGTTCCTGCTGTAATTACGACCACAAAAAAGAACAGCTCGGAACTGAATGTGTTGAACAAAGATGTTCAGAAGCTTTTGTGGAAAAACAATATGAAGTTCCCAAAGGCAGATAATATACTGAAACTTCTTGGGCTTCATGTAGGATATAAGGCCTCATCTCATACCTTTATGTCATTTCACTTTTTGCTTTAGTGAATGCTAGACATTTCTTTTCACATTGATAATGACTCTACGTTTGGTTACAGGGCCCTGGAAAAAAGGGAAAATCGATGAATAATGTGAAAGATGACCAGATTGCTGCAAATGGACGTGTAGATGTTGATGGCAATGGCAGTTGTAACGTGGCTCTTGAAGCCAACAACGAAGTGGAATGCTCTCCAGAAGTCTTGGAAGAAGATAAACCAGATGAGGCATAGGGGCTACTTGTATTATTGCTAAAGTTTATCATTATGCAATTTATTTTACATTGATACTGATATGAAGTTGATTACAGGTCCAGTTGGAAAAGGGAAAAGCGATGGGTAACGAGAAATATGACCAAATTGTTGCTAACGGAGCTGGAGTTGTTGATGGTGATGGCAGTTGCAATTCGGCTTCTGAAGCCACAAATGAAGTGGAATGCTCTTATGAAGCCTTAGAAGATCATAAACCAGATGAGGAATCCGTGGCTGATGAACTTAGACCCTTGAAAAAGGCTAAATCTTCAGTCAATGATACGTGTTCAGTAGAAGTGGACAGCGGTTGGTTATATTTTGTCATTTCTGATTTTCTTCATTGGAAGTATTGTATTTAGGGTATTTTGGCTTATTTTGTGTAGTGTAACAGATCCAAGTGTCCAAGTTAAAGATGTGGACAAAAGCTGTACACAAAATGAACAAACAACGGTCACTGAACATACCTTGTCCGACACTGATAAAAGCTTAAAGTTACACCTGCGTGAAAAAAAGCTCATTGATTTCAGAGACAAGCTCTATCTCGCTCCCCTTACGACAGTAGGAAATCTACCATTTCGCAGGGTTTGCAAGTTTCTAGGAGCCGATGTGACATGTGGTGAGATGGCAATGTGCACAAATCTTCTGCAGGTTTGCACCCTGTATTTCTAGTTCTTGGTTTCCCTTTTAAACTAATTATCATTGATTATAGTTGTATGCTCACTTTTAACATGTCAGTAAAATGTTTGATGATGACAAACACTTTTGACAACAATGCACTTGCAGTTTACTAAGTTTAAAGCTGAGTTAACATGCTTACTTTAGTTTTTTAGCCAAATTAGTCACCAAAATCGACTTAGTAAAACGATTTTATTTTTTCAAAAGTTCACTCATTAGACGACCTCGGGTAGTACTGGGATTGAGATTAAATTTTACTTTCTATTGAATTACTTCACAATGTTGATTCAATCCACCAAGCAGTTTTGACTTTCAGATCACATTGTCCTTATGCGTGATATGTGACACATTTAGGACATGGATCACTTTGTTTGCCTGTCCTTCTTAATTCCTATTAATAGAATAATTGATAATGGAATAAAAGCGTAGGGAATGTTATACATCCGGACCCTCCCTCTACCCCTAGGATTTAATCAACCTTGAATATGTCAAGGGTCTAAGAATTCCCATGCAAGAGAGGATTTTATTGTTATAGGTTCTGTCTTTGCTGCTTATCTTGATTCGTTACATTGGAGGTCCTTAATTTAGCAATATCTGAAGCTGCTTATTCGTATCTCTTGGATAAATATCATGCTCTGAGTGCCATGTTGACTTTGCAGCGATTAAAATGGATATTCCTTTCTGTAGTCTCTTGTGCAATACAAATAATCCCAAGTTGATTTCATAATTCTTATATTCTCTAAATTACGTATAGGGTCAAGCTTCAGAATGGGCTCTGCTAAGACGACATTCATCAGAGGATCTCTTTGGTGTTCAGATATGTGGGGCATATCCAGATACAGTTTCAAGAACTGTCGAACTTATAGAGAAGCACTGTACAGTGGATTTTGTAGATATTAATATGGGATGCCCAATTGATATTGTTGTTAACAAGGGTGCTGGTTCAGCCCTTCTTACAAAACCGATGCGAATGAAAAGTGTCATAGAGGCATCATCTAGAGCGGTTGATACACCAGTAACCATTAAGGTATTTCATGCAACATCTGGTGCCTTAGCCACAATATTCTCGATCAGCAAATATTTGAAATCTGAGTTGTGTTTCTATTAGTTGGACAATGCTCTAGCATAATTATTTTTTATGATCGTTTTGCTCATTATCTGTTTTCTCGTTCTTTTTTCATTTTTCTTTTTTCTGAGTCTCCAGGTACGAACTGGTTATTTTGAGGGCAAAAACCGCATTGACTCACTAATAGAAGATTTTGGAAACTGGGGGGCCACTGCAGTAACAATACATGGTCGAACACGTCAGCAACGCTACAGCAAACTTGCTGATTGGGAATACATCTACAAGTGTGCAAGAACGGCCCCTCATAATCTACAAGTCCTTGGAAATGGTGATGTGTTCTCTTATTTAGACTGGAGCAATCACAAGTCCAACTGCCCCGAGCTCTCTTCTTGTATGATTGGTAGAGGGGCATTAATTAAGGTTGGTAGTGAAGTTGTACCTTCTGTTCAACTTCAGCATTATGTGCAGAGTCTTAATACTGCTTCCGGTTTGCTATTTTAATGCATTGTTGCATGAATTTTACAGCCCTGGATATTCACTGAGATAAAGGAACAGAGGCACTGGGACATAAGTTCAGGAGAGCGGTTGGACATTTTGAAGGATTTTGTACAGTTTGGCCTTGAACACTGGGGTTCGGATACAAGAGGTATGTATATTCCTTGCGTATATGTATATATTCCCGTAAGAGAGATTTTACATTTAAGTTGCAAGGTGTAGAAGAGAGGTCTTGTTTGAAATTTATCTGTCTACCTATCAAAATTTTTTTTATCTCTGTCCATATCTATATAATATAGTGAAATATTTGCATTGGCGGATCACCCTTCCATAAACATTTGAAGTGCATGTTTCAGAAAGCTTACATTATAACTTAAGCTGGTCAAATATACTTTTTATCCACACATTGTAGAATCCACAATTACTATCCACACACCGTGTAGGACTCACAGGCCACATCTTATAATCATCTGAAAGCACTCTCAAGCATGCCCATAGATCATTGTTTCTTGTCAATTTTCATCATTTGCATTGAATGGCAGGAGTGGAAACGACAAGGCATTTCTTGCTGGAGTGGCTTGGTTACACATGCAGATACATACCTGTTGGTCTCTTAGATGTTATCCCACAAAGGATTAATTGGCGGCCACCTGCATATTTTGGTCGTGATGACCTCGAGACACTAATGGCCTCTGACTCAGCTGCCGACTGGGTATATTATTTGTCCTCTCTCGTTAAACCTATCTTTTTTGTTCGACGTTCAATTTCTTTCTTTATCATGACTCAAGCATATTGTTTCTGCTGCAGGTTAGGATCTCCGAGATGCTACTTGGCAAGGTTCCCGCTGGGTTCACATTTTCACCCAAGCACAAGTCTAATGCATACGACAGAGCAGAAAACGGCTAACATAGATAAGTAAACTGCGCAAGGTTGGTGATAGAAGTCATATCATGTTATTACACTAAATTCCTTTTATGAAATTGCATATCTTAACTTTAATATTTGTTTTTATCATGGATACAATTGTATTGATTTACATTTTTTAAGAGTGGTCCTTGATTGTATCCTTAAACTTTGTGATTTCATGATTCTGATTTTGTTCTTTGTCATAAGAAAAGGAAAAATGTACTTGATTTTGGACAATTATTTTTTGGATTTCGAGTCTGTAATGAAGTGGAAAAAAACACACTTCTTTTTGAATTTTTGAAGAACTAGATGGTTCGAGTTTGATTCTCAATTATAGTAAAAGAACATAAATTTAATTAAGTTATATTATTATAATTTCAAATTAAATTAATCATTAAGTAATCTGTACAAATTAATATGTATTTGGAATTATCAGCACCAAAAATACATTTTTTGCCCGAAACCAAGAATATGAAAATGGAACAAAAAAATATTTACCGTTTGGCAATCAATAAATCAATTTATAAAGAATTGATTTATAAATTTGCCAAAATTGAGAAAAACTATTTAACTACTCTGGTCGATTACGCATAAACTGATCCTCTATGGATGAAACGTCGTCATTTAAACCCCTTAACAAGCAGACTCAAGTAGGGGTGGCAACGAGCCGAGCCGAGTCTGAGCTTTTTCGGACCGAGCCGAGCCGAGCCGAGCCGAGCCGAGCCGAGCCGGGCCCGAGCCTTAGCGGGCCGAGCCGGCT